CACGTTCACGGGGACGTCCTAGGCTAGGCAATCCTTCTGAAGGTATCCCGCGCAACAGAGGTGGAAACCTGTGCAACATTTGTCTTGGATTCGGGCTCTGAAGACACTTGACCTCAATTTCTTCAACCGATGTCTCTGGCCTAGATTCAACACTCAACCTTAGTCCTCGTCTTCAAACCCCACACGCCCCAAACAATGAGGGCCTGCAGGCCGGATCGTGGCAAACGACAGGGATCCACTCGCTTCGAACCGCTGGCGGTCGGATCGAATGACTAGGTCATCCATAGCAGGATCCTGCATGGCCATGTTGGGGGCTTAGTGTGCAGGGATCGAAGCCCTAAGCTGTTTTTGGGGTGGAATTTGCGAAGCCTTATCAGTGGAAGCCTGGAGAGCCAAGGCTTGGTATGAGGATGGGAACTCCCAAACTCCACCCTCAGAGCCCCTGGGTTCGAACAACGATGAAGCAACCAGCGCCGCAGAAATGTGGATGGGCTTTGCGGAGTCTTTTCGCCGGCCTCTGACTGACAACCTGCAGAAGCCATTATGACTTTTGACCTGGAGCCTGGGCCAGAAGCTGAAACAGAATCCATTCCCCAAGTGCCATGCAGACACACACACACACACACACACACACACACACTCACACTCACTCACTCACTCACACACACACACGCACACACACCGGAAGAGGATCTCAAAGACATGGCCTCGGGGTCCACATCATCCTGCCCGGTGTGCTGGGAAGGGATAGTGGCAAGACTTGGGAACCTTGTGGGAAAGATAAACTAGCGGACCTGACGAGCGGGGGTGGGCAGGATGGCGTTTCGACTTTTCGGCTAATCGTTAAGGCTTGGTTGTGGTGTCCCAAAGCTTTTTTCTGCGAGACACATGACTCGACTACAGCAGCTATCAGCTATCGATGGGGGAGATTCCAACCTGCAACAGTACGCAACGTTACCATGCAGGGTGCAATTGAGGTTTTGAAGCTTGCTGGTGAGGAAACTGGTGGGGGTCTGCGGCTCGAAAACGTGCGCTGAAGTGCGCAGAGCAAGCAAGATTCATCTGATGGACGACACTTCAAGACTTGCTTATGTCAGTAGAGGGTTCAGAGGAGACCGGAGCACGTGAAAAAGCACAACATCTCAAAAGTCTCTAACCCTAAACCCTACCTTGAGCAACTGGGACCTCAAAACGGGTAGAGACATAATTTAAGTTGATCGAAAAAAGGAAGTGACAAGTCTTGTGTGAAGTAAATCCTGAGCCAGCAGAAACAAACTATGAAAACCGCAATACATGCATGGAATAAAAACACGAAAGACACTAGTAAGTAACCAAGCAATTAAGCAAATCATGCTATAGCCTTATGTGTTTACATCTGCACTTCTACGAGGATTGATATTTATACGTGCTGCTTGCATGTGTACTTATGTGTATTTATCTACTCATGAAGCTTGTCTCCAACAGTCGTTACATAAATATGTATGTGCGTGCTAGTGCGAATAAATAAATAAACAAGCAATTACATATATATATATATATACACACAAGCTCACTCACGGGTACATGTGTATATATATATATACACGTTCAAATCACACAGAATCATATATATATATATACACACACATATATGTATGTGTATGTGTGTCAGTAATACTATATATATATATATTATGCACATATACTGAACCATGTGAAGATTTCAGGGGGCCTCGCAGCTGCCCACGACGTGAACCTCGGTGAGCATCTTGCCCGGTGGCATGCTCAACCTTAGCGAAGGGACGGGCTTGAAGGGCTGTTTTGGCATCGCCCAATCCACGGTTGTTTTGTTCTGCTTCGTGCGCATCTCGGCGAAATGCAATGCAGTCCATGGTGTTGGGGTTCAGGGCAGGGGTTCTATCGGGCTTCAGCCTTAGGTAGCATTCAGGGAGTTTGGGGGAAGTGTTTGCTTGCCACCTGCCAGCTTGGAACTGAGGATACAAGCTGTTGATATCTGTATCATGCCAGGGTCGGGTTCTGCGTTTGAAAGCTGAAGCTGTGCCTCTTGAGGCGAGCCATCGATGGCCATCGGGTGTACTTACAGCATGACAGGGCTGCATGTGTTTCAGTTCTACTTCTCAGGAAAATGCCTGGGCCTAACTAAGATCCTGAAAATAGCAGACCGCGCAAGGAAGCTGCAATCGGCAGGTTCTGAACTCCCTGCGCGCACATAAGACCTTGTCTCTCGGCTCCGCGCATTGCGCTCGATCCTTCATCGCTGGGCCAGGTGTCGGAGTGCGATGGGCAGCAGCCTCGCGGCTTTACAGTGTGAAGGCTTGGCATGAGTTTCTTCGAGCCGGCTCTTTGGAGCTCCATGACTCTATGAGTTGATGGATTCGGCACACCCAAACAGGATTGAAGAGCTGGCAACAGCGCAGCTTTGCTTTGCCCACCTGGGCTCTCAGCCGAGAACTGCCGAGAACTGGTTCATTGAATATTGTTCGCTTTCGACTTTCTCAAGTCGCCCCCTTCAGCTTGGTCCTGAAAACCCTTCGTACACCCAAGACTCCGAGGACTCCTGAACTCCCTATATCGCAGGGCAACCTCCCAAGATCTCAACTCCTAAACAAATAAGATCAGATGTGAAGGGAAACCTAACAGTATCAGGCTTGCAGCAAAAAAAGGTCCAGACCGGGAATTTTGAATTTAAGGACTGAAAAATCGCATGCACGAGCGGCCCAGAGCCCCGTCTGCAGCCACCGCCGGCGCTGTCAAGGGGCACCGGCGACACTCCGACATACCTTGGATTTTCTCGGTGTGTGTGTGTGTGTGCGCGCGTTTGGATTACTGCTACAGATGTCGATCCTTGTGTGGAAGCCTTGCTAAGAAGATGAGGACATTCAATTTTCATTACTATGTTGTAAAGCCGGGGTCCGACATGGTCCGACCACCCATGCACTTGCCAAACAAATGTTTGGGCATGGGCTGCAGTATGCTGGACGGGCCTTGTTTCCACAACAGCCTGGCTGCTTTGACAAACTTCTCAGCAACGACAAGATCCAAGCATTAGCTAGCTCTGAAGCACGTGGACCTTATTTGAACTCGGAGCACGCCTCAACCCCAAACCTCTCCGAAGCCAGGACGCCGTCGGCGTCGGCATAACGTCCGCGCGAGCCTAAGCGGCGGATGGCCGACTGTCGAGCGATGAGAGGGAAGAGTCGTCGATCATTTGGAGCTTCAGTTTGGGGTGTCCATAACACTTCATTGTGCGGTTCTAAGTCTGAGCATGCTACACCCCGGGAAGTTTCAAAGCGGGGGGCACCTACTACATGCATGAAGCGCTCCACACTCCTTCAGTGCGATGCATGGCGTCGGCAACAAAAAGCCTGTCTGATTTCCAATGTTGAGAAGACAGGCTCCAAGTGAAATGAACTTTCCCCTGGCATGTGGTGGGTGTGAGTGCAAGAATCAAGGCGGACAACCTGACGGCTGCGTGTCGCAGCAAAACACCTGCCAAAAGCTCCACCGCTAAGACCATCAGCGCTGACAAGTCCCCCGTTAGATTTGCGGCATTGAACTTCTAGCTTGGTGGGGTCAAAACTTCGTCATTTTCGGCGGCTTGTGGCAACATGCATACGTGAAGTCTTTCATAGTGTCATAGCGCTTCTACAGTTGTGAGAAAAGCCGAGTCGCCGAGTGAACTCTCAGGCAGTTATGAAAAAATACACGACCTGCATTTTACCTTCTAGTTCTCTGTCAGCTTGCAGAGGCTGCACAGCGAGGATCCCGCCACCGAGGCCTGGGTCTGAGGACATGCAAATACTGACATTCAAAAGGGCATTTAGAAAGTCACAAAGAAAGCGTGGCTCAACGCAGGTCGTGCCCATGAGAAAGGAAACCGCGAAGATCCATGTAGCTCGCGGAGGCCACATTCGAGCCGACATGGACATGACAAGGTCCAAAGGGCCGTCCCTGCCGGGCACGCCAAGCACTGCGCCACGCTCGACGCTGCGGTGTCCTGGAGAAGTCTGCCATCGCAATGCTATTTGCATGCGTCGAGGTTCATAAGTGTCGGAACTCAAAAAAAAACCAAGCAACAATAGCCTCGGTAGAGGGTGTACACATAGGATGTTCATCGGCCTAATCACCGGCAGCTAAAAGACAGACCTGCTGAGTCTAAGTCGTGCAAGTGGTGCAGTACATTGCAGTGCTGCCCTGAACACCTCCAAAGTGGCTTCTGGTGGCTTCCGCGTGTACTTGGGGGTCTGGGGCCTTCAGTTCCTCGTTCCTCGGGCCTATGGGGCTTCGGATGAGAGTCCCATTCTACCCTAATTAACGTTTCGCGGGCGGTATCCAAATCGTGCTTGTGAAGCTTCAGTTCGTCCGTGGTCCCAAGAAACGTGATACCTCGGGGCCGCTGTCCTGAAGGTACCGACCAGCAGCGCAATCTGAGCACACCTAAGTCTCAACGCTCGGAAGCCTTTGGGGGTGGAAAAAGATCGATGAACTTGCGAACGGTTTGCTTTAACATTTTCGCATGTTCTCAAGGCTTAATTATTCGGGAGAGCTTGTGGGGAAGCCTCATTGCAGCCCCATCTGGCATTGCAACGTGGGAGCCTGATAAGCCTGGCGTGGAGAAAGCCTCCAGGGCATCAGCTTTGTAGTTTGTCGGGCATGGTTCAGAGGCTTTTGCATATAGGGCCTGGAGAAGTATATTCTTTCCACACCCCTACAAGCCACCGAGAAGCCCCTCAGCCATCCTCTACAGGGACTACAGTATAGGAACCCCTACTAAGGGTGTGTGGGGGGGGGGGGGAAGAGAAGAAATCGGAATAACGGCGGCAATGGCTCTTGGGCAAAGATGCAAGAGCGCGCTTTTTCTGCTGCCCAACCTCACCTCCTGGCCCACTGAACGTGGTCATGCTGGACATCGTGATCCAGACATGTAGATCAATATCGAATCAAGCCATGTCAAGTACGATTGCTCGGGTTCCGTGACTTCCGTGGGCCAAGGACATCAGCTACTCAGAGTCAGATGCAAGCTCGCTGGACAACTCGCTGTCACCTCGGCTGCATTGATATCAAACTGGAAGAGAAACTCCTGCAGGCCAGCACGCCTCTAGACTCTCAAAGCTTCGAGTTGTAAACTAAAGTTACCTAAGTTCGTACATGGAGTCTAGGAAGCTGCATGCAGTACGCTCTTCACAGAACCGGAACTCCGGTTGCAGCTGACGTGGCTGGATACCTCCTTGCTGGTTTGGCCTGAGCCAGGCTCTGCTTCCGTCGAAGACGACTCTCAAGTTCCGTGGGCTGAGGCACATCATCATGACACTTCACATCTGATTCTTTACCGGCGAGCCTGCAAGCGATCTGGCGGTGATCAGCGGGGTGCCTCCTTGGCTGGGAGAGTCTTTCCTTCAATCCGAGAAATCTCTGCGGTCCTTCCGTCCACCCTCCCCCCCCCGCCCCTCAAAAAAACACGGAACTGTCTTAATGCCCCTTGCTCCTTGCCAGGCTGCAGGGTTCAAGAGTGCACCACCCCACCATGGCCACTCAAAACTTTTAAACCCTTTTCAGCAAGACAATCGTGGATCCTCACTGGCCTTAGACCGAAAACCCCCACCTGGCAGTCGGAATCACCCAACCCCCGCATTCACCGTCACAGCTTGTAAGCACCCGTAGTGACTACATCTGTTTAGTCTTCTAAAAGCTTGGAGGAGAAGTGTAGTCATGGAAGGCATCCGGCATCAGGTTTCTCGTGCTCAGCATTTGCTTGTGCCTTTCACAACATGGTGTGGACAAATTTCTACATACATGCACGTCCCACGCAGTTCCTTCGCAGGACTGATCATAATCATGGAGTGGCTGAGTCAGTAGACCCTTTAAAGGAGCAGCAGCAAGTTCCCTGAACATACGCCACGGCACGTGGTGTGGAGGGCGCTGTGGTGGACACTTCGCTGGACCCAATGCTGGGCTTTCGCAATGGACCTCAGAAATCGGGAAAGGGGCTTGGAGTCTTCGTGCTGGTTCTTCAGTTCACGCGGTATGCCTGCTCAGGCTTCGTCGCTCTCAGGCTGGCAAATTAAGTTCTTGCAGGCATTACGGAACTCTGCCGAAGTCCCAAAGCTTCTGTGACGGCTGCTGGAAAGTTTATGAGTGCTGTCGGTTTAAACCACTGTGCAGCCGTGCAACGTGATGCCATCTCAGGGCGCGGAGGCCGGGCCCTCAGACGAGCCCGAGTATGCAGGATTCTCGGGTTGGGCATGGTTGCGCTTCGTCTACATTCCGGAGTTTTGCTTGCGCTTTGCAAAGCCTGACTCCGTTCAAGGCTCTGGGTGCATAAGTAGCTGCTGACTGTGTGGTCACTGGTTGTTGATGACTGCTCTCGGGGTTGGCCTGCGCCTTTGCGCACCCCGGGCAACAAAATGCAACTCCGCCTTATCGGATGCATCCCACAGCTCAAGCCTTGGAGACTGGAGACATCGGAAGAACTCTCTGCTGCAAAGCATCTTTGGCTTCGGATTTGTGGCCGCCGAAGAGCTCGAAGGTACCTAAGAAGCACATTCGAGCAACCTTGCGTCCATCTAAGCTCTCGGAAGAACTGACCTAAAGTCTCATAATACTCCCTAAACCGCACTCCGGCAAGGCTGAGAGCCTGGCTGACCGTGTGACTTGCCCAGAGGTGGTGCTCGTCTTGGCCACCTGGACTCTGACGGAACTCAGACAGGAATACTTAGGACCCAAAGTTACAGCGTCCGAAACCTTGGAACATCCTGGAGCACTGGAACCCCATAGCCGCTACAGCCCTTCGACCCCAGCCTCTTCATCCCTCCAACTCCGAGTAGCTTTCAGTGCTGCGGGCAGTGGATCCGACAGCTGCTCAGCCATGCAAACCTCCGCGCTGGTCGCTTGCGGGTCGCTGCTTCAGGTTTGGAACCTGAAAACGGGTTCGTTAGCATTCACGTGCTCCATTTTCGACTGGCACACCCACCCAGCCACGGTGGTGTTGAAAAGATGCTACTTCCCATGCGCTTTGCCACGCTGCGAGCTTCAAGCATTGGGACATGTGATGCTTCTGGGCTTCTGACTTGCGCTCGGAGGCCTCAAACCCCTTCCCCAAACCCAATTCCTGAATTTTAGAGGGGGAATCTGTGCGGCCCCACCCGCCCCCCCCCCCCCCCTTCCACACTGGTTCCACACACCCAAACCAAAACAGAAACAACTCCGCTTCTTAGGCTAAGGTGCCAGCACCGTCGCCAAGCCCAGGCAAAGGGCTTCCAAGTCTTTGGCGTCGCCTGGGGCTCACAAAAAATCGTCTGATGCCCTTAGCCCCCGGCAGAGGTTACAGGCTACAGGTTAAGAGGGTCGGGGGGGAGGTGCTGCCAAGGCCAAACCCTTCGAAAAGCCAAGCTGCCCCCCCATGAGAGCAGCAGCCACTGGAGTGTTGATGCCTTCACCATCAAGCCCCCAACACCTGAGACTGAAGGATGGATGTTAAGAACTCCGGAGATACGTGGAGAGTTCATCCCCCCCCTTCGCTTGGAGCTCTTCTGTTTGGTTGTTTGGGGCTTGGTGACTCATTTGAAATCCTCATTGTGTGGCAGCTCCTCAGGCACGAGACATAAGGTCTCACAAAGATATGCCTTTCTGCCCGAGCCAGAACACACAACCCCGCTTTATGTAGTCGCGCAGCCTGACATGTCCGAACAAGCGGATTGATGTGGGATAAGTCATGCCGCCAAGGGTCCAAGCTCTTTCACAGGCGCAGCCACTCGTGAGAGAAGGTCTTCTTTGATTGCAGTGGTCACAAGCCTGGGGCCGCCAGGCCGGCAGAAATACTCCGACTGTGTGGGCACCCGAGCTCCCTAATCATCACGTCTCCCTGGTCATCCCCTAGCATAGAACCTAGCATACCGGCACAAACCTCGGCGAACCCAGGTCAGAGGAAAGATGCGTTTGTCAGAGATGGCACTAACGAAACATAATCAGAACACAACTAGCAGGCGTGGTATGTATCAGGCGCAACTTCACACATGTATACACCCGCGTTTGTGTCTCACATGCAACATACGTGGGATAATAATGATTTGGCATCTTGGCACCAAGATGTGCCAAGCTCCTTCGGGGCAATGAAACTTACGTTGACTGCGACATCAATTACCAGCTTCAGACGTCCAACAAGTATCCAAGCTGCACAAAGGCGATGGCGCACAAGAGCCACTGGTTGCTGAAGACCTGAAGTAGTGTAATTTATGCTAAGCAGCCACGCCAACATCGCACAATCCTGAAGTCTCAATCCGATCGCTGAATGCAAGGGATATGGCGCACAGTAGGTCAACGGACAAGCAAGCTCGCAGGACTTCCCTATCGCATGGTGGACCACTGCAAGTGGCTGATGGCTGATTCAGGAATTCAGGGTCCATGAGGTGCACCATTCGCCCCGAGCCTCGGCCATGGCCGATGCAGGGGAACTGTATGGCTCATGAGGTGAAAGTGCTGCAAGGAGAGCCGTCAGCACTAGGAGTCCTGTTCCGCAGAAGCTCGGGACTTTCAAGCAGTGGGTGCGCACGGCACCAGTGCAATTTTGGATCCCCATAATTCGGATCAGGATCCAGGACCTATGGGCTCTGGTTCCTCAGCCCCCTCCCAGCACTGGATCGACACTCTATGAGATCCTGGGCAAGCCCCGAATTTTCCAGGTTCCTGAAAGCTAAATACCAGCCGCCAGCCTTGTGCATGTCGGCTGGCTGAGAGCAGCTCCCACGGGACGTCGACCTTCCGTTTAGAATTGGATTAGAAGCCCCTCCTTCCTCCCACCTGAGGCCGGCACGGACAGAGTGAGAACCCACATAAGCCCCATACAAGCCACTTCAAATGTCTGCAAGTAAAGACAGCTTGCCCAAACCTTGTCGGGTGTCCTGTGAGCCTTTGAAGCCCATAAGTATAGCACACCTCTGAACCCTTCGAGCTCGAAGATGCATAGGCCCCCCTGGGTTCTGTGCGGGTTTGGAAGCTTGCGATTGAAGCCCTCGGGGGGTTGTCCATACCATTCTGCCCAATTTCAGCCCTTGCGCGGGGTCTTGTGGCAACCAACTGACACAACTTTCAGGAGTGATCAATGGTAGTGGGATGTTGGACAGGCAGGGCAAGCGCCAAGACTGCACTCGTTAGGGTCGCACGAACATGGGTCAGTGCCTTCAACAGGCCACACGCGCTTCTACGGATTTCTGCGGAATCTCGACTTCGATGCATCAGACCGATCGCGCGGACATATGTTTTTTAATGACTTCAGTGCAAGGCACCGCTGATCAGGCATGTCATGATGATGCATGGCACCCTGTAGCATCTCATGGTGCAGCGCCCAGTAAACACTCAAAACTTCAAGGGTTTTTGGACGGCGACCACGTGGCCTTCTGCGGCATGGCCTGCGCCAGCGCGTGGAGCGGGACCTTCTCCAGGGAGTGCTATAGTCACTATAGAGTGACTAGTACAGTAGTGTCTGTTTCGTGCTGAGTTTCGAGTTGACGGGAGACCATAGATTCCGATTCGGTTTTCAGCTTTTCGGATTGAGTGTTCTCATTAGTGGAGCAAGGAATGGTAGAGCTAGTAGTTGATAAGTTATTGGCCAGTCAAAATGATCCGACTCGATAATATGCTCCGCAAGGGTGTGACAGCAGTGCCTGGAAGAGGACACATAGAATCCCACGGCCCAGGGCAGCATCCGCAGTATCAAGTGCCTGGCACATTGACTGGCTGCGCTTGCTTGGCATTGGCAGACGGGCGTTCCACGACCATTCACGGCCAAGACAAAACGCGGAGGGGATTCCTGCGCGCATTGTAGAACACATCTCACTTGCCTGCCCTGAGCTTGGGGTGTAGACGGCTTGGACGTTTATATGCACAATATTCCAATTGAGGAAGCCGGGGATCGAAGCCTGGCCTGGACAGGCCCCCAAACTCTTGAATGGGAAACCAGCAGCGCATTGAATGCGCTCTCGTGCCGAGCAAAATCTGCGCGTATCAGGCGAAGGCACCTCAAACAGCCCAACAGCCAGGCCTTCGAAGATTTCAGCATGAAGGCGCAAGCAACCAGCGCAGCCGCGCAAGCAGATCTCGAGCTACCTTGACTTCAAGGGGCAGGAAAGGCCAAGCATATCCCTCTCGGCTTCGGAAGCAACAGACTGCCTGCAAGCATGCGCTCATCCGACCTGCTCGTGCTGTTGGTGTCACTGCGTTCTTTGTGACAGAGTTCTGCTTTGAGTCTGGACTGCCACGAAGCCTAAACCCGCATCGTGTTTCGGATCAACACTTGCGCAGCTCACTAAGCTACATTACCGGCTTGGGGAGGCTCACTGGAGGCCGTGAAGCTCTGCTCGCAAGCTCAGAATGCGTCAAGGCGACGCCTCGCCGCTTCCACAAGCAAGAAGGAAGCCTTGCCATAGGCCAAAGGTATGCCGAGCGGGGACTCCGCAAGTGGAGGGTCTTCCCATGCAACAACCTTGCAACTCAGGCCTTTTTTGGAGGGACAATCCGAGGTCCGAAGCTTTTGGTGGAGGCGCCTGCGTGAGGAGGACGTAAGTTGCTGGATCCAGCCAACACAGGCTTACAAAGGACATCCACTGGCCGACCTCGGAATCAGTTGCTTCAGCTGAGCTGTCACTAGGTCCTACACAAGTAACAAGTAATTGGACGGTTGCTTCATGTAAAGACCCTAACTCAAAGTGCGATACACGTGTGCACGGCTAAAAGTCTGCTTATCTGCGAGAGCACGAGTAAGCTCCTGGCAGCCCTGCCAACACCAGGAAATATGGTCAGCATCCACACGGGCACACTTCCAAGCCTCGGCGATTCAATCACAGCTTGCAATCGCCTTTAATCTGGGGTGTCTAGTCGGTGGCTACATCTGCAATAATAAGGCCCGAGACCTACTGCACACCCACTTTTTTTACATAGATACAGGTTTGTCACAAGGGTCAGCAGATGGAGGTGTTGAGGGTTCGGGCTTGGTTTTTTGGGGAGATCAGGTGGAATCACTGCAGTCCACTGGCTTCAGAACCAGTCATGTCTGCAAAGCGAAAGAAAGCGACAGCAGTCGAAACCATTCGATGGTCCACTGCGAGTGTGAACTAAACATGTTTTTGCAAGTGCTCTGAGGCGAGGTAATTGCTCAAATCCATTGAAGGCGGCCCTGGAGGCCGGATCCCTCATCTGTGGTCCACACGTCGTCGGCTGGCGGAAGCAGAGCGACCTCCAGCGCGAGAGCCCGCCGCCTGCCCAGACAGCGCCTGGCCCAGCTGCATTGGAGGTTAAGACGAGTTCGGAGCGGCTTTTGGTCCCGCTCTGTGTGGTTTTCGGAGCCTTTTCAGCTCAGTTGCATGCCACCCTGCACCTTGGTCCCTATATCCTGTCCTAAGCATGTGTGCCATGGGCGTTGTTAATTGTTTCCTATGGCATTTGACACGCACTTCTGTAGATCTACCTGGCAGGAAACCCCATGCTCAGATCAAAAACGTAAACCAATAACTGTTGGCGTACTCAGCAGCTCACATTGGACGCTCATTCAAAGACTCACGTCGTGAACGCCGCGTTCTCAATCACAGAGATTGATTTATAGGCACTGCTTACGATAATCTGGTGTGCATGTGGGTTGCGAATCTTCAAGGAGATGCTTGATATTGCGAGTGCGCCGCTCGAGGGGGCCTGTCTGACCAACTTCCGCCTGCTAGATGCTCTTGGATCAGTGCCCGATATTGTCCCCATGTGCCAGGCCCCATTGTGGAAGCCAACCGGTGTGTACTTGCACAAGGTGATGCCAGTTAAAACATTAAAAGTCCTCATGCAGTAGTGCACTACCTGCGCAACTATTTTGCACATCATACATGTCAAGACAATCCAAGGCCTAGTGCCCGAAGGAGTTCTGCCACTTCAACGGCCACGGCTGCAGCTAAGGCTTGGGAGCCTCGCGAACTAAGCAGCTGCTCGGATGTTGGTCGTCTTAAGGTTAGGGCTTAGAGCTTGTGTCGGGGGATGGAGTTGGGGTACTGGTTGCGGCTGGTTGCGGCTGAGGAGCATGCAGCTTACTACTATGCTCAGTCAGGCTTGGCGGTGTTTCACCGTGTTTGTGTTCATCCTTGGAGGTTCTTCGAGTGGGGCTACTCAAAGCTCCAGGTGCTCCATCTGCAAACTGCGGGCGTCATGTTTTTCTAAATTGGGGGGGGGGGGGGGGGGGGAGGGCTCGAAAGTCAGACCGCACATGTTTTGCAATTGCCGTAAAGGCATACAGGCATCAGACAGTGTCTTTCACAGAAGGGACTCTCAAAGAACCCTGAGAGCTGTTTTCAACCACCAGAAAACTGGTGGCAAGCCTAGGTCAGAACGGAGAACAGGACGCCACCAAGAGGCTCAGGCGGAGGAGGAAAACATTCACAACTTGGGTTGCGCAGTATCTTCAAACGCAATGTGATTTCTCGTTGTCCAAAGTGGTCCCCCCTTAACGGCAAGCATTTGGGTATCAGACACGGCCAAGTCAAAGGGGGCTCTTCTTGTTTTGGCATGTCGGCGAATGATCATGTGTCCCCAAAGAGAAAGGATATCAAGGTAAACGCCATCAGCCACAAAAGCACCGACTGGCAAGGATCCGATGAACAGCGCCGTCTCGGAGAACACGAGAAAACAAACGAACACTTCAGCAGCCGGTGCCAGTGATTGTCCAGACGGGTGGCACCAGGCAAGTCTGAATTCGGGTCTTTTCTTAAGTGTCCTTGGACACAGGAAACTGATATTCGACATGGCAAGCAAAAGGCAGGGAATATCTCAAGCTGACCCCTGACTCTGCAGAAGCTGACGTGCGAAACAAGCCCGATCCAACGGGGCCGGGCTGAAGCTTTCCTCCAGCATTCTTCAATACTTGCCCGCCTCCCTGATTGGACTCATCAACTGGCTTTACGATCTCATGGATGTACTTCAAAGTTTGAAGAGCCTACAGCCTACGTTGCATGAAGGAGAAGCCGGAGAAGCCTCACTTCTTTGTGGGAAGAGGGACGAGGGGATGCTATAATATTATACATGTACATGTACACACACACACACACACACGTAAATGTGCACACACACACACACACCTATATAAACTTCACGTATTCCGGACCCCCAGGTTGCCTCTGGCTGCCGCAAGGGATTGCAAGAAGGTCTGCGCCAAGACGAGGGCCACATACAAGCTGAGCCTAGCCATTGCAGCGCTATTGGCAGGGATTCGTGTAGGGGTCTCCACCGCTTGGCTTAAAGAGATTCGGGTCAAATACTTGTGGGAGAATCGGGTCCTTCTTTGGGGTTCAGAGTGGATCGTCCTCGCACAGTAGATGTGCTAGATTTCAGCACGTAGGAACAAAAAATGAAGCGCAAAAATCGAACAAGGGGCGCTGCGCCGTCGAATGACTGATGCCACATGTGCTGCAGAAACGTGCTGCTGGTCGAACTCGCCCAGATGGTGCGGACAGAAGCCTGTTGCTCCACGACATGCAATGCGCACTGTATCCAGAATTCTGCTGCTTCGATAGAGGGATCCCGAAGCTACAAGGATCGTCCGGCTGAAGGTCGTTTGGGCTGGCTGCCCAGAAAGGCTCCTGCATTGCTCAGGCGCTCGCAACAAAGCGCTCTTATACGGTTTTACATAAAGAACAAAAAGCCCTCAAGCCTTTGACCCGTCGTATAGCTCTTTTGCCAGGTGACCCACAGAGCCAGCGCGAAAAGCAGTGCGGAAAGGGAGGGCAGCACAGCGGCCACAGACAAGCCGGGGCTCGTCCGATCTCGGTACTGGGTGCGAGAACTTGGGTCTTCAAGTTTCGGGGTTCGGCGAGGGAGGCTTTATAGGCTGGATACAGTTGCCCCGAATTTGTTCGATGATGTAGCAGAAGTTGGAGGGCTTGCCTGCTCGTATTGTGGCGTGGTTTGCTTCTTGCCAACGACTTTGAAGGGATTGCAGACTGGGATTTGAACAGCCTGGGAGACCAACCGGCTTGTGCCGGAGTTGGCATCGTTCTCTTTTCTGAGGATGTGAAACTGATGCGTCAGGAAACACCCCGTCCCTTAGATGGGAACGCCCATGCATACTGCTAAGAAGCCCCAATTGCAAGGTACAACGACGTCCGTACAAGGCCACGTAATTCGACAAACCCAATCACGTGGTGGCTCCAACAGCCAGACAAAACCGAGCCGCCCTGCACAAAGCTTGGCCGTGGGAGCTGCCACGGGGCTATTTCGGAGAGGGAGGTGTCGCTGGGGAAGGTCTTGCGCCACAGCTGCCTGTCGATTGCAAGGTTTTAATGTGAAGGATGAAAGATATGTTGCGTAGGTGTGCAAGTTCGATGGGAACTCATTGACTATTTCGGGCTCCTCTGTCATGCATTCTTTCTTTCAACAAGAATTGGCAGAGCTCTGCCGAAAGTGCATAGGTCAGGCTCTGCTGGGCGTGACTGACACGCCACCGCTCGTCAAACTCCTACTCGACTCCCCTTAATAACAGCCCCAGGTAGCCCCAAGGCCCTCACAGAAACTGGCTGCATCGGAGGCGCCGGTCATATACAGCAGCACTCGCGATTCGTGCTGCGTGCTTTGTTTCGGCAGCACGCTGCCTATGCATGACCTGACCAGGGCATGCGCAGGCTTCAACGTCCGGGCGGTCACTTCATGGCTTCAGGGCGCGTTTCTGCACCATCTCCCGCCCTGTATCCCCATCTCTTGCCTCCATGCCGACAGGCAGAGTCGACAAGTAGGAATCCTGAGGGCAGACGTGGATGATCGGCTTGGGAATTGAGGACAAGCTCTCGGCTACTGTGCTTCAGTATGACAATTCTGCGAGGTGACCTGGTATCGAAATCCCCCAAACCCCAAACCCTAAACTGATACGCTGGGGAGGGCCTTGAGTTGAAGGTTGACGTTCGTTTTCTTTACACCCTGATGCAACACTGGTCGAACCTATTCCCAAAGCAGCACGCCGGTGAGACCAGTGCAGTGCAACCTCTTGAATAGGGGGATCCCATAAGATGCCACCAGCTACGCAAAACCATTGGCGCTGAGGCAGCAGCATAGGGTGCTAGCGGTGTGTTCGAGCAACCACGGTGAGGGACAGCTCCCGGGAGCGGCAATCTGGGCAGCGATGTTTCAACGGCAACTTGAGCTGGTGAGAGTGGCTTCTCTGTGGTCGGATCTTTTGGAGGGGAAGCTCAGGCAATGGGCTGCGTTGCCTCTGCCTCACAGAAGGCGAACTAAGCTACTACCTGCTAACTATTAACCACTAAGCTACTACTGCTACTACTGCTACTACTGCCCCTGCTCATGCTAGTGCTTGTGCTACCGCTACCGCTACCACCAATACCACTACCACTGCCACTACCGCTACCGCTACCACTACTCTGCTGAGATGCTAAATGCTCAATTGAACCAAAAAGCCGAGCTTCAGAATGTCCCGGCTTACTTGCACACGACGACACAACTGTCGCCTCTGCCTTTAGAGATGCAAAAAAAGGCAGCTATGAGCCTAGATGCCCGATGCCCAAGTGGAAAAGTCGAAAAGCCGAGTAGGTCAGGCAGCAAGCTTTTCGTTTCCACAAAGCGCTACGCTGGGCAAACTTGCCGCCGGGACACGTGGATCCATACTCCTCGAGTGCTGGAAGCAGGGGGGGGGTCGTATTCAAGTCAAAGCCTGACCGACTTAACCTGACGAAAGCTTGCGGAAGTTGCCTTTTGAAACTGCTACGTTCTCATGTGACCTTTGCATGGACAAGGCCTTTCTAAAACTGGCGGACGATGTGTCGTTGGTGTGCGTGTGTGCGGCATCCCTGCACTGCTGGCGTGTGCGTTTCCGGCAGGCAGGGATGGGGCGCTGCGACAACTAGACTTGCAATTGGAAGTTGAAGAAATCAAGCCTAGGTGCGAGCTGCAACTCAGCCCTTCAGCAAGCAAGCGACCTCAGAACATTTTGATGACTGCAAGCAAGGTGCCGTTTGGAGATATAGGTCAGTCTCCAGAGGGGTCCAGAACGTCTCGTTCATCCAGGTTACCAGCGCAAAGCTGTGAATTGGCAAAGGGCATGGGAAGAAGCCTGGCAACATGGCTTCATCCACCACTCCCTACCCTTTGCCCTTCCTGTTGAGGGGGTTTTTCCTGAATGACAGACTGTGCAAATGTTTGACCACAAGGTCTTCTGCCAGCAAAACAAATACGGCCTTCGAACCATTTCGAGCCCCAACTTCCCAAGCACCAAGAACCCTGCAAACTACACAGATCAGGCAAGGCACGTCCTTGTTGTTGGGAAGACCTAAGAAGACGCTTCTTGCAAGAAGCCGTGTATTTGAAAAAGAGGGGTCGCAAATCACCTGGGCTACCCTTTCTTTCGGACAGGGCGTTTGAATGCTTCGTTTGAATGCTTTTTGCCAGATGCCGTTTTCTTTTTAAAGCACAGTGGGATGAAGGGACCCGAGTCTTAAACACTTTCGTCTCACTCTGCTCATGGCATGGGTCTCGGACACCAAATGCCCCACAAAAGTACACCGGAAGCCGCGAATCCCACCATATGGGGTATGCGAGTTCTGCGGCTATCTGCAACCATGGGGCTCGGTGCGAAAAGCGTAAGCGATGTCGCAAGATCCGCCTAAGCTCCACTTGGGCGACTGGATCGGGTCTGCAGCGGGCGCTGGGCTCCGAACACTTGTGGGTTCTGGGGCTCCGCGAAACCCGCAGGGCAGCGTGTCGCCGGACTCGAAGGTGTCACGAGGACCATACTGCTGGACATGCTAGCATACTAGTGGCATGCCCCCCCGGAACAGATCTGGCTTGCACCGGGCTGACCATAACAACTGAGGGGGACCATGCACTTCAGGAACACTCTTCGAAACCAAAACATGACTTCTCGGACTTGTATACCTGCCACACATGCCTGATCCGATCTGGCCCGGAAAGTTTACGCGGGTTATGTTGGTAGAGGAGCGCTCCGGGAGAAGGAGCATTCTCCCAGAGCCCACGACATCTCAAAATAATCCAGCTCCCTTCCAGAGGAGGAAGTTCGCGGCCACCACTTTCGTTTTGGAAGTTTAAGACACCCTGTTGCGCCTAAAAATGCCTAATCATTACGATCCCGATACCTATCACTGTGTTGCCAGCCGCATCGCCAGCGATCAACTTCATGTACCGCCCTATAGGCACCGACGATCAAAGCATCTTTAAGCATCCTTAAGCCTGTGGCTGACAAGCCAAGCGGGCCAAGCGTCAGCCGCTGCCGCACACGCCGACGTCACATTGCAGGAAGCGGCCTGGCAGGCTCGTAGCCGACGGCGCAGGTGCCGAGAAAAGGACCTAAGTTTTTGCAGCAGCGCACATCAGACACTTTCTACATGGCACCGCAAACAGACACGTCTTTTCTTCGCAGCCCTTTCAAGGTCCAAAAGCTGCGCACGGCGGCGCAAATGATCACCGTTGAAGCACATGAATGAAGACTGGTACATAAAGTATGTAGGCGCTGCATGACAAGGCAGGCGCGGAGGTCCCTGTATTAACCAACGTCACAGTTTCCACCATTAACTGATTATTAATATCAGCCAACTTTGTCTATCCTTCCATATTCTTTTGTGCTTACACAAATCAAAAACCCACATGTTGCGAGAGGGCAAGGTGCATCCCCAACCCTCCAAACCAATTCTTTGCGGCAGGCTCAACCAACCGACACGCTGGGCCAGCAATCTGTAACGCTGCTCTGATTCGGGCAGAGCATGAGCTACCGGTCCAAAAACGCAAACCTGCCTGCAAGATTCCCCCTGAAGCATCGGGACGAGGTGCATGGATTTGGATGGCTGGGCCTCTGCTCCTTGGTTCGGCGTTGGATTCGGAGCTATAGTGCATCCTTGCAGTTTTGGTGCACAGGGGGGGGGGAGGGCAAGGGAGGAGGCATCTGTTTCCGTTCTACAGTACCTCCGAACAATCCCGGGATTGTTCGGCAGGAGGCCGGCCCCCCCTAAGAATCCTTGGCTAAAGCACAAAGCCAAGCCATATGCCATGCCAGGTTGCAGCACCGCCGAAAGAGTGCAGCCGCTGCGAAGTGGACCGGCCTACGCTTTCAGACAAGGACCGGCTTCGTACTTCTCGTCCCACGCTTTGCGCAGGCACAGCTTGTGATGGTGATCTTGAGCAGTCGTAAACTGCAGAGCATGAGAAATCCTAGCAGGATGCCGGTTGGGGCGAACGTGAGCCATCCGCGACACCTTGCTAGATAAATGGAGTCATTGTATAGGATGCTGATTCTGATGCTGCAGGCGTCCTGCCACATGAACGCTGCATACCTGGTGCTTCGTATGCCCGAATAGGATGAGCAAGCGGCTGTTGGCTTCGGTGTGGTCTGCATTGTGGCCAAGAGCGCTGGAAGCTGCGGCTTTCGGAGGCTGAAAAAGAAATGGAGGCAACGGAGGCATCGTTTCAAGAGCAAAGCGCCGCAGTCCGCAGACATGTCACGGTTCGAATCATTCCCAGGCTTGCCTGTTAGGTTGTTGCGTACACCTGAGTTACGTCACACACACACATATGCTTGCGCACGCAAAGTAGAAACGCTCCCTGAATATTCCCAACGCCCTTGAGCCCTGTAGAATGACCATCAAGAATAACCCTCAAGGAAATCATCACCGGCCTGGCAAAGGCTCGCGTCCAAGGAATGGCCCTGGTTGTTGAAGGCCTTCACGACAGCCCAGGGCTTGGATTCGGAGACGCGCCAGAGAAACTAGAGACATTCCAACCCCGAAAGACCCAAACCCTTTATTTCTTGAAATCATGCAACCCCCCCTTTTGCTGCCGGGTTGTTCAGGAGCCGGGGAGTTGCGAGGAGATCGATTTTCGACCCTCAACCCTTTATCACGAAAGAAGTGAGAGTAGCTTCGTTGGGTGGCCATGCCTCCTGAAGCGAGGCCACGCTGGCGGCCTCTTGGGGGGCAAGGATGGGCAAGGCACAAGCGCTATCAGCTCATGGGAAGCAGATGATTCAGAGGGATGTCTGTCCTGAGGTTCTGCTGGCCGATCGAGCACACCCCGACCCATAAGAATCTCTAACTTCGCCTTCGGAGGTCTTCTGGCTCCTTGTGACGCTTGTGGCTTCCTTTGCTTGGGGTTGCTCTACACTGTGGGGACCGACTTGCCAAATTCAAGTACCGTGTCCATCTTGGAGCCTAGATCCAAAGCAAAGCTCATGCCGCTCTGGAAAAGCAAGCAGGAGAGCGAACCGAGTCTTCTCAAGTCCCCCATTGCTTCCGCATGCTTAACGACCACTAATCGCTTACCACTTTGAGGGCTTGATGCAAGGATGCAGTCATTCCGCCCCCGAGCCTACTCAAGCGACTCTCGCAGGAAACTGCAAATTTCTGTCTTAGGCTCCCAAGCATCCCAGCAAACCCAACAAGCTGCAAACCTTTGCGCCGTGAAAAAAACGTGCGGCCTGGATCCAAGGCCCGAAGGTGGCCACATCACCTCAGGTTCAAAAGAGGCAGCAGAGCTTTCTGGTCCTGTAGCCTGTGCTTGGCGCACCTTGTAGCATCTGGAGCAGAGCATGTCAGGCACAGCTGTACGAATACGCAGCTCAGCCGAGTTTCTGTTCATACCCACATCTGCAGTCATGCAGTGCCTCAGTTTGTGCTGCAGGTCGCGGCTCCCGGCGTTCTCAGGCACAATGTCTACGTAACCCTCAACTATTGCCGGACCCGTATACAGTGGCAAATGGGTCAATCTCTTGGATCAAGCCCCCCGATTGCATGTGCCGGTGGGCCCCCTGTGTGCGATGCGAGCTGCGAGCGGAAGCCTAGAAGCAGGCCACCAAGAAGTATCACAGGCACCTGAGCCCATGTGATCCTTCATCCCCTCCCCAAATAAAGGATTGGGTCCTTCACTGTGCAGGTATGAGGGCGGATGGTCTACCAGCAGTGGGATGCACCATGCAGCGCTTGAGGGGTCTATTGTTTTGGATTTGCCAAGGCTGCGGCGTTGTGCTCTGCAAAGATGCGCTTGACCTGTCGTTGCGGTTTGAAGGGCGGTGTGTTGCAGCTTTCAGCCAGTTTTCGTTATGAATGTCACGCAGGGCATCAAGAAAAACTTGCTCAATCCGCTCTTTCGATCTGCAAACTTGCAGACAGTCCGAAATTCACGCATTTCTTTCAAGCAAGATTTCTGGGTTCCGTTGACACTCTGTTGACTGCCCAAAGGATGCAACGCCGGAAAGGCCACAAGTTTCAGAAGTAAAGACGCTTCAAGGCAAACACAAACCTCAGACCCTTGGAGCTGTAAACCGCCCATGTCAAGTCTGCCGGTTGAGCACAAATTCATCAGGAAACACATTGACAATTCATGTCTCTGGTCCCGCTCTGCGTCGCTGCTCTTGATTTCCTTCCCGTGATGCGTCGTGAAAACCGGGAATCTGAAGCGTCGCCAGGGCCTTTGGAAGCTTCAAATCCCAAATCGTCACTCACCAAAACCGAAGTAACCGAAGCAAACAGCCAACACTAAATGACATGGCCATCAAGACCGAAACTCTTCTCCACTCTGCTCACCTCACGCAACGCTCTCTGGGTGTTGGCGAGGTGCAGGCCCTTCTCCTTGCTTGCATGTGAGAAGCCATCACTTTGACAAAACTTCCTTTTAGGGACTGAGACTGTGAGAAGCTTCAGCTGCCCCAAATAACGTCATGGCAACTTTAAAACCATCGCCACCCTCGCTCCACAAGCTGCTTCCTCCACGGTAGGCTAGGACGCATTCCCGAAAAGGCAAGGCACTGGGCTGGATGTATTCGGCAGAGCACTAACCTTTGTAGGCATTTCGATGAAGACAAGAACAATGTCAAGAGGAACCGGTCCGGATACTTTAGCGTCAGTGAGGGCCACGACGTCTGACATACCGAAGAACAACATGGGCGAATAAGGCACTTACGAACAGATGTGTAGATGCGGCACGCTTGCACGGAATCGGAGACTACGTTTGCAACTGACAGTGCTATCATGTTGTCAGTCGTCAGCGTTCCACGGAAGATGAATTGAGTTTTTGGCAACCAAGTCTCGGCTAGCATGTACTTCGCAAATCCGGCTCACTGAATCCAGGCCGAATTTAAGCCATCCGGCATGCTAGTAAACCTGCGCACGTCAACATTCCAAAGCCCCAAAGGGCCCCCAAGAAACCGATAAGTGCCAAGCCCACACTTAACACTTAGACTTGTCTACTTGTCTGTGCGAAAAAGGCGCCTTACATCGGCGGAGCCGGCTCTCGAAGATCAAAGGCTGCTGGGGCCCCTCGGCTGCCTTGAGCAACTCCTGACCAAGACTGGGGGCGCTAGGGCTTCGATGGCGTCTGTTCAGGGACATGGTGACATAGTGACTTATCGACGCACTTATCGTGCCGATGGTGTCTGAATGCTTTGGGGACTTCCTGTATTCGGTCGATTCAGGTCGGTGGGTGCAAGGCGTTTCTAAAACACCATGGCTTAAACGGGTCAAACCGTGCTGAGCCTCTGCAACCACCTGGACTCCTAGACCGGTTTTGTTGCTCCGATGTTCCGATCTGATAAGCTTATCTGGCTTGATCGTTGTCCTTTTGTACAACCTCTCAGTGGTTTGGGGGCAAATCATTCCTCACACCCTTTCTTAAGACCTGACCAGGGGACCTGTTCCAAACCCCTCCAGATCCCGGGGGGGGTTTAGGGCATCGGGCACCTTTCCCAAACAGATTTCCCCCAACATTAACGGACTTTTTCGAGGGCGGGAAGGTGGGGGGGGGGTTTTAAGATTGGCCACGCTCTCTCTCTCTCACGGTGCCTCCCAGGTCTGACGTGCAGCCCCAGCGTGGGACTCCCGGCGCACCAGCCGTGCGTCGCTTTGCGTGGAGACTCGGATAGAAAAACACTTCCGGATTCGGGTCGGTTTGGAAGGGTTTTTAGCCTTCCAAGCGTGTTGGGCTGACATGGCCTGTTTGCGGCCGGTTGGTCTCGGTGATTGTCTATTGCAATATACTCCGCAGACCGTATAGGGTGTCAAAGATTGCTAGTGTAGTGCTGCCATTCAGGGACCCCTGGACGCTTCAGGAAGAGCACCCTGGCCTGCTAAGTACCCAGGAGGACCTCCAGCTGAGCATTGCGCATCTTGAGCGGGGTGCATGCATTCTGGGCTGCAGCTACTGGATGAAGTTATGGATTTAAGCGCGTACTTATGCATGTATTTAACTGGCCTGTAATTTTGTACGTTGACTTTTAATTTTCTCTGATGGATTCAGGGTGGCTTTCAGTTTCCTTCGGGCGACATTGTTCATGCCTAAAATAACTGAAGGGGTAACAAAAACAGCAGCTCCAACATCAACCTGTACTGGACAAGCCCAAGAGCCCCAGAGCCTACCTGCCTATAACTCGCAACCCCCCCTCCATGGGCTCATACCGCGGGACCAAGCTGGCCGACACTGATGTCCACTGCCAGGGCGCGCGGCAGACCTGGCGCCACAGCAATTCCCTCCACGTGTGATCCTGATTCCGGAGGCTACATCTTCGCTGTGGCGATATCTCCCAGCATGTGCCAGGATGTCTGGCCCCAAGCTCCAAGACGTAGAGACAATTTCACACACTGGAGCTTCCAAAAGCCAAAAGCGCCGAGCTGCCCCTGCAGTTCACATATCTTGCTGTCAACAATGAGAAAGGCTGCGCAATGCAAGTGCGCACTGATACACACTGTATCTCACAGTACGCACGTTAATTGTGACCTGTTGGGAGTACAGCCTGCACCCCTGAATTCACTCATGCTTAGGGATGGTGAAAACGGGCCAGCAATCATAGAAACACAGAGCTGCAGGCTGCAGCCGAAGCAAAAACTGTTCCAACTGCATTGCCATCAATCCAGGCCACGACCAGACAAGCTTAGTTTCTCAGAGCAGACCCACAAAGCCGAAAACCCGACTTGAACCCTAAAAGCCCTAAACATCTCAAAATTCCGCACAGGCCCAAAACCCCTTTTGTCTCGACGCTCAACAAGTGGACACTGGGCTCGAGGTGCACGTCACAGACGTAGCGCTCGCTAGCTTCACTAGCTTCAAGAGCCACCCATCCTGAGCGGGGGAAGCGTATAGAACTTGACCACCGTTTTGGGTTGCTGATAACTTCAAACATCGAGTTGACAACCGCGATGATTTCTGCGGCAAAAGCAGAACCTACAGCAATCCCGGCGGAAACGTAACCACGTACGGCTGAGGCCAATCCTAAATACTTTAGGGTCCGCCAATGATCAGCGGAGACGTCTTGCGGTCTTGCATCACTTGCATCACTGTTAACCAGGCAAGCATGTGCAGACCTAAAGCATGCGCAGTTGCAGAGCTTGCAGCATCTGGCAGCCATGCACCTGAATTCGCAGTCCTGGATCTACGACTGAGTCCGTTGATGTGGTTTTCAGTACGGTATTACGGGGCGGGGGGTTTGGTGAGAGCGGTGTCCCGGCTCAATTGACTCAATCGCTCAATCTTGCCGCATGCTACCGCAATAGCTTCATCGCTCAACGGATCAGCACCTGGACGCTGAAAGTTAACTACTTCCAAAACTGAACAGACCGCTCCCCTAAACTTCCTCCCAGTGAGGCGACTTTGCTTTCTGCTGTCGCGCGGGAGCAGGGATGACAGGGTCAGAGACAGGAACGTGCGGATGCTGAGGGTGCAAGTGCTCCAGCCACCCCTTGTCTTGGGCTGGCTGACGCGAGGCACACTCAGTTTGAAGGGATTTTCGTCGAAGTGACAGCGATGCCGGGGTGGATAACTTTGCCCTGCGCTTTGCTTCTGCAAGGATGCCACGGAAGACGGCGACCCTCACGCAGTACCTTGAGTGTGGTCGCATGCTGCGGCTTCACGATTGAGTGCCCGAGACGTTTCTTGGTTTCCGGCATGGTTTTGTTTTCTGTTGAGGTTAAAAGCTGCTCCCGTTATAATCTGCAAGGCTCCCAAAGCATACTCTACTACCCCATGACTGCTTGAGGGGTATAGGGACCAACGGATGCCGTTTCAGGGTCTTCTGAAGTGAAAAGAATCTTCTCCCAGGGTACTGCCTCACGATTCGGCCCAACTGTGGGCAACTGGACCTCCGCTTCTCGATCACCTCCATGAGCGCATCCCGTGTGAGGAACAGAACCTCAATGTAAGTCAAAGCATAGCCTGATACTGGACGTATAAGGCTTGTGTCGGAGAGGACAAAGTCCTCCCCCCAAACTGCACCGTGATGGCCAACCCGGCTGTCAAGTGCCACCAATCCTTTGGAGAGGATGTACAGGACCTGTACGTTGTCGAAGCTTTCCCGCTGTGCAAAAGCTGCCGCCTTTAGGGCCTTGGCGACATCCGCTATGCAGGCTTTGTAGGGAGCCACGTATGAACCTCGGGTCTCCTGTAGTTCCTTGGCTCCGAAGCTTCACGGGTTCAGGCCAGTGGCCAGGAAATGGATCACAATACAACTCGGGAGCTTCTCAAAACAGAACTCCTTACTAATGGCATTCCCCAGGTTCGAGGAAGTTCAAGAACTGGGAGAAAAAGGTCACTTTCCTTGGTATTTTCACAACACGCGTACGTGGGCAGCAAACTGGAAGTAGCGTTGTGTGATGTTGCGTCATGTTGTGTCGCTGGCCCATCGAAAATTACGGTTTCACGACCGTCTCCGTTCCATGTCCCACGCAGCAGTTGCAACATTGAGGTTGAGAAGCTTGCTTTGAGCAGGCTACTGGGAAGCTTTGCGGAACAACATGGCTGTTCCTGCGTGTGTTGGGCTCTGAAAAACGGGCCGGCAAGGCTTGGCTTGTTTGGCTTGTCAAAGACCCAACACTTCGTCGAGTTTGCACTACGGGATCACACGCCCACCTCTGCGATGCAAAGCGAACCTCGAGGTGTGTTCTGACCACCAGCTGCTGGCCTACAGGGCCTACACACTCAAGCCCCTAGAGCCGCCCTAAACCCAGTCTCAGTTCGTAAGTGCCAGCTCGGAGACAATGCCCTTCTCCTAGCACAACAAGCCCAACTGTTAAACCAAAACGTTCGGGGCCAAGAGTCTGGATCCAAGGCAAGTTCATCACTGTCGAGACCTGTCGGGCATGCGAGGCCCCGTTTGGGCAATGTCTTGATTCGGGTTCGGAGTTTGGTGTTCTCTCTAGAAGACTGACCTTTATCTCCAAACAATTTAAAAGGGTAAAGGTCCACTCTAAAGACTCTAAGGTGTCATCCAACAAATTCACGACAGTACTGGGCTGCAGTATGTGCGCCCTTCTGTGTTGAGGTGCGGAGGGGGCCATACCTCTCAAGGGCCAGGATATGGGGAGCCCTGGAATGTGCCGCCTCCGATTGCAGCTGCGGGCTCATGTTCTGCAGCAAGCTCCTTGGCGCTTCCCCAGGCTTACCGGGGAGCGGGACGGGGGGGGGGGGGGGGGGTGGGCATTTGTCAATGTCATGAAGTTTTGAAGGACCGAGCAACCTGAAGCATCCAATACTAGGTTGGCCCAGCACTGACTTACCCCTCTAAGGATCCACGCCCCACCGCACAGATGTTGAACCGGTGTGAAATTCGGGGACGAAAGTGTGGCCACCTGAGACGATCTGCAAGTGTGACCGCACCTCCAAGCTGCCCTGCAACCGTCACCTGAAGCCTTGCTGCCCTTGCTTTGTGCAGTGAGTGGGGTGGAGACATGTAGTTTATGTACATGCGTAGCCCTCGAAGGTGTGTGTGAATACAACATTTCCTTGATGCATTTACCAGCAGCTTTCACGACAACAGTCCAAGGGAGCGGAAGCATCTTATGCAGCTGTGGGGACTCTACGCTCACTTCGCTTGCCAGACAGGCTGTGTGAATTTGGTACAAGGCTCTGCTGCGTCAGAAACTGTGCCTGGTTCCGGTTTTGCAGGAAGTAGCTGCGCAATCGCGTCTTGAGTTCGCGTGGTAGCTCCTGGCAGGAGACGGCTCCGCTCCATGACATGACTGATGTGTCTGCTGATGTTGTAGCGCATGGTCCTTGAACCACGACATGTGCACGACAATTTTTCAACTGTCCGGAAATTGTCATTGGGTGCTATTGGGTGCTGGCGTTGGGGCTCAATGCTACCACTCCGGGCTAAGCCCCTCATGCGGATTGCAAACACTCCCCTCCATGCAAAGGATCCTCGAGTCAATGTTTGCACTACAAGCACAGCACACCCTCATCCTGGCTCGTCATCATGCGATTGAGGTGGTGCATCCTCTTTCGGAAGTCTTGGCTCTCGCTCGTCATATCTGCGACAATGCCACACACCTCCCCCAGAATGTAAGCCCAGCAGAGGCCCGCAGATAAGACAATTCCGCAGCACATCAGACGCTCCAAAATATTCTTGGGCCCGATGTCCTAAGGTGTCAAGACAAGCTTCTCTTGTCAGGTGGCAGAACATGGATTAAAATTGCCAAAAGTCAAGCACAGCTCCTATAAGTATACAGTTGCGCCGAGTGTCCCCATAGCCCACAGAGGTCATCGTGTAGGCACAGAAGTAGAACGCAGCAACGTAGATTCGCAGCGGCGACTTCGATGACTCAATACCGAACTGCAGGTCGGATTCCTCGATGTCATTGATCCAACGTGGGAACCTGGCTTGTATATTTGATGTGTTAGAGGTGGGGTGTGGGGACGGGGGGAATTTTCAACATGCTCCGCTCTATAGTCTATAGAGACCCCTTCAGGCACTGAGCCAAGCCCTATGCCACAAGACTACGTCATGCCCCGGCCCACGTAGCAAGGAGAGCTCAGCAGTGGTGTGGTGTGTCAGAAGTTTAAGTAGCACTTGGAACCCGTTTCTTTAGTTGATCTTCAATTTGTTGATGTGATCCCGATGCTGCTCAGTATCTCTTCGTCCACAAGCTGAAGTGTCATAGACCATAGGCCTGGGCGCATACGACATGCACATGCAACGTGCGCATATCCTATGTTTAGAGTTATCGTGGCATTCGTGGGCTTTCACTGCTACTGCAGGCCATGCTACGCCAGATTCCTGCCAGAAGCCCTCATGTCACATGTCATATAAGGTTTCAGAGTGTGCTAAGTATGCTCGTGTACAGCCTGCTTCCCGAGATTGGCCACTCCAAACTCCTTATATTGTCTTGCGGCAGTTGGGGCTGTGCTGTCCGGAGTTTGAGGACTGACAAGCCATCGGAGGGTGCGAGTTGGTCTTTCCTGACTTTTGCTTTAGGATCCTCGTCCCGTTTGTGCGCTCCTGCATATTGGTGCAGCTTGAAGACAAGCCAACCAGTGGCAAGCCAGCAGGAGAACGACCAGAAACCGCATCAGCGCCAAATGCTGGTAGGGAATGGCTACGGGAATCTCCAGCTGATGCATGAGCCTTAGATGCTCGAGGCCACCTCTTTTTCTGCTCCGTCCAATCGCCAAAAAACAACGAAACCCTGCCACATCTCCACCGACCCTTATTTTTGCCAGGGTTCCGGGATGTCTTCAGAA